AATAATTTAGTAAAAAAAAAAAAAAAAAGGAATATCCAATAAGTGTCCTCTTTTTATATTATTGGATACTGTAGAACTATTAAAAGCTATTGTTTATGGTTCAAAATTTCGCTTTTCTTTTTTTCCTCCCATCCTCCTTTTTTTCTTATTTATTCAAATGATTGCCATATTTTTGAATAACAGATAACTTCAATTTATTTATCATTTAGCTATCAGTGCTACCAATTTCTCCTTTTCCAAATTTTATCATTATTGTGTAGTGAATAAAATAACCGGAATAACCGGATGTTGATCAAACGGATCGGTTATACGTAAGTAACGGAATAACGGAATATTAAATTATAATCGACAAAAAATAGTAATAATAATTAATTATTACATTGAAATTACTATGAGACATTTTTGATCAAAAATTTCATCCTTTCTAGATTTTATTTGTTTTTTCTTTTTTTTTTTTTTTTTTTTGACACATTTGAATTCTATACTATAAAATATAATATTTATCAGAATTTATTTCGAAAAATTATTAAATTAATTGTAATTTAAATTCTAAATTGTAATCAAATCATTTTTATTGCAAGAAAAAATTTTACTTCATTTATCATTTCTAGTTATTATATAATTTACTATAATCATTGTTATTACTGTTATCATCTAACACATTATCATTACGAGCATTTTATAATCAAAAGAGGAATGAAGCAATAAAGAAATAAGAAATTATCGATCACTTTTTTTTTTTTAAAGTTTTATTTGTACATAGTCGAACGGATATTTGTAATGAAGAATTTTTCCTTTTGATTTAGAACTAAAAGGATGATCAAAGATTAACGAAGTGGTTTCTTCTCCTCATTTATCCTATCATCAACATCACCATCATCATCATCATCATCATTATCATTATCATTATCATTATCATCATCATCATCATCATCATTATCATCACCATCATCATCATCATCATCATCATTATCATCATTAATCCTATAATTTTTCCATCACAATTGTTATTAATGACAAAATCAAAAGTAGAATATCGCAATTTAAATTTTAGAATCATACTATTTAGGATCTTATCTAAGCTATAACAATTAGATAAAATATTTAAAAAAAAAAAAAATAAGGAATAGAAATGTGAAGAGAGAAGAAGAAGAAAAAGACAAGAGAGAGAGAGTATTATCATCTAATAAAACAGTAAGTATTATCACCGATATCACAAACTTAAATTATATTTTAGTATCATTTTATTGTTTGAATTTTAAAATGCAATAATGTTATGCTCGGTTGTGTAAGTTAATTTCAATAATCATTGTTAACTATTCCTTATCAATATTAACAGTTATAATTGATAATTTTTATTATTTCTAACTAGATGAAGAAAGCAGTAAGAGGTGAAAGGTTAAAAAAAAAGTGAAATTCTTCCTTTTCTTTCTTTTTTCTTTCGATTAGAATGTAATGGACTGGGAATAGAATAAAATAAAATAGTTTGGAATGGAGTTGGATAGAATTGGAATTGGAATTGGAATTGGAACTAGAATGAATTGGAATTTTTTTTCGGCATAATAATTTAGATTGAAATATTTTTGCGTTTATTAGCCCTCTTTAAAAGTGGCCGATTGGATGAATTTAGAGAAGATTGGACGAGTATACTTTAAAGGAATGAATGGGATAAAGGCTTGTGCTTTGTTCTGATCCACTAAATCTTTAATGCCCCATTACTTATCCATCAATCCATTCATCCATCCATTCATCCATCCATCCGTCCATTTCATTTTATTCTATTCCATTCTAATTCCAATTCCAATTCCAATTCTAATTCTACCCAACTCCATTCCAAACTATTTTATTTCATTCTATTCTTGATCCATTTCATTCTAATCGATAGTATTTTCGTTCCAATTTATTCCATTCTATTTCACTTCATTCCATTTCTATTCCATTATTTTATTAGCATTTAATTGACGAGAAGTCATTCCTTAGTTTTCGTAAATTAATGCTTTTTGTTTATTCATTCATTCATTCATTTCATTCATTCATTCATTCATTCATTCATTTCAGTCATTCATTCATTCATTCATTCCTTTCCATTCCATTCATTCATTCATTTTGAAATTTTATGAATTTTTTTTGTCCACACTTCAAGTATTTTAGCGTCCTTTCTTCCTTTTCTTTTTTTTTTTTGTTTGAATTTGTTTCTTTTGATATGACATCCTTCAGTATTTTTTCCTTTTTTTTTTCTTTCATTTTCATTTTCTCGTTGTTTTAAATGCGACGAATGTAAACATTTTCTTTTTATAAATTTTAAAAGTTTTCTTTGCCTTTCAATTTTTTACTAAATGAGCATTTTTAAGTTTAAGTACTTCTTCAATTTTCTAAAATGCATAAATAAGCCTAAATTCAACTAAAAATATGCTTATATCATCATCGATTCTTACAGATTAAATCAAAATTATGACAATTCTGTCACACAAAATGATATTACTATGTTCCGTTTTGAGTGATTGAACAATTGCTATACAAAGTTGACATATTGATCGCATATTGTAGGACAATGAAAAATAAACTTATTGAATAGCTAATAGTATAAAGAAAAATAGCAATATTGATTGATTTTTTTTTCTTTTTGTAATTTTATTTGAAATAATTACTTCGCTTTTGGTTTTTTTTTTTCCTTTTAAGAGTTTTATCTTTCAGTCAAATAAATTCTTTAATTATTGCTCGAATCATTTTCAAATTTTAATTTCTTTCCAAGATTATTTTTATTTTTGTGTTATTATTTATCCCAAAAAAATAACCATTAAATAGTTTGCATTCAATCGCAATTTTCCATTTAATATTTTCAATTTTGAAATTAAAATATTTCAAAAGAATAAATTTAATTGTCTAATTTAAATAAATTTATTCAAAAGAAGAAATATAAAGCTTGAAATGATGAATATTCTGTTTGAAAGATTCATTAAACTGGTTAAAATCAATTAACTATCATTGAAGAAAAAGCATTTCGTTTTTCAATTTAAATTTGTTTGAACTAGCCGAACTTCCGAAATCATTCATATTTACACAACAAAAAAATTTTTTGATAGCAAGCAAAAAAGTGAAATGATTTGTTAGACGACTTTTAGGCTCCAAAAAGTCGGCCATCTTTCCTTCTTCTTTTTCTTCTTCTTCTGAGCTCGAAAAGTTTCCATTGTATACATTCATATTTTATTATTAATAATTATATATATATATATATATATATATATATATATA